TGTAGTCAGTTTCCTGACCACTCCAATCTGGATGGTAAGGAAGATGTAACATAAAAGTTTCTTTACCAATTTTTCTCTTTCTTGTTAAATAAAACAAAAGATCGTTTTTTTTATTGCAGGTCAAAGTAACCGTTCAATTTATTTACGTTTTTATTGATAACAAAAAAAAGCATACCAAAGTGGTAGTAGTAGCTGGCCTTATGACTTATGCTAATATATTTTCCAGTTTCCCTACGCTTTGAAACATAGTGATCAGTGCTCTTGGGTTGAGCCGATATTCCCTTGTTATTTCATTGAACACATCACATTCTGGAACAACGGTGGGATCACACGTTTTGAAGGTGTAATTGTAACACCGGCTCGACCAGGCATTCGTCGATGATGGTGTCATATCGAACAACTGAGAGTTGGAACATAAGATTAATGGTTGGGTTTGAACCCACACGGCTGGTAACCCTTTTCGATTTTGATAGCCACCGTCTCCGCCAGTTCTCTCCTTCAACTCGTCAACCACCTTTGTCGTTATAATTGCTTCATCAATGAAGAGAACAGGTTGGTTGACGCTTGATTCCATTGCAAATCTTTCTCCATCTTTTGCAAATTGACGTGCCGTTCCGTATGATCCGCGTAACAATGCCAACGCAGTTGCGAAGAACTAATGAAATAAATTTTGGTAAGGAAAATGTTTTAAGTAAGTTTCATTACCATTCAATTATTGTTGGTAAAGAAAATATTGCGAAAAAGTTTCATTTCCAACTTACGGTTTTTCCGGAACTGGTATCACCAATTAGAGCGAGAATACTTTTCTTCTTATTTTTCAATGTGATGAAATTGTAGACATCAGTAATGAATTGTTTTCGTTCAAGAGCTGTACCAAATTGATATTTCAACCATCTGTATATGTACTTCTCAGAATCGGCGATTGACATATAATTTGTACAGATGTTGTATACTGGAGTTGCCTTTATTTCTTGGCTTTTTTCCAAGAATTCGTCCAATGTAAGGGAACACATTTCCTCGCGGTACAATGATATTCCTTGTTGAAATTTTTGTGATTTTGGATCTAAGATTGATGATTATAAGTTTAAGTGTATTTGGTAAGGTTGCTGTTGCAAATAAATTTCCATTACCTATATGACTGAATCCTGGAATATTTTTCACGTCAGGAACTTGTAGAAGATTCTCAGGTGGGAATGGTTGGAAACGCCAACACAGCTTATTTGCCAAGACTGTTACTTCATCGTAATTGGCCATAACAAAGTCTTGGATGGCATCCGGTAATTCACCTTCGATAATTTCATCAACATTGATACGGTCTTCAATATCCTTTATTTTGTGAGTAACGTCTGATGGACGTGTTGCGGACTTGGTTATAATCATCAGCATATTTTCTATGAAATTCTTATCATAACGTAAAAAAACTTTGATCAAGTCATCGGTTGTACCATTTTCCCAAATTTTTCCAAATTTGTACACGGATGATATAATGTCTTTTGGATGAAACTTGATGACTTTGCCATTCCAAAAAATATGTTGAACAATGATGTCTTTGTGTGACAAAAAAAATAACAAATTCTCGGCGAAACTGATATCACTAAATGCGATTCCAACACGATTGGGATTTTGTCGATGTCTCAATTTGTTGGCAACAATTAAAATGTCTTGAATAGACTTTCCGCACATGCATTTTTTCTTGGAATTTATCAAACAGTGGTGAATCAAAAATAACTTTTTTTCATCGTTTTCGACTATAATGAAATTTTGAAGCAAATTCTTCATAGCAATTTCCAACACTTCATTGCGGTTTGTCAAATTTGTTTCGTGGAACCATATTGACTTGATATTTGTTGTAACGAAGGTCGTATATGCACAACTAATTGCTTCAGCTTGAGATAATTGAGATTGAGATTGAGAAAATTGTGATTGAAATTGAGGTTGAGATTGAGATCGAGTTTGAAATTGACCCTTGAATGGAATGATTTTTTAAAAGATATTAATTGTTGGTAAGGAAAATTTAATAAGTAAGTTCCCTTACCATTGAATTATTGTTGGTAAGGAAAATGTTGTCGGTAAGTTTCATTTCCAACCGAAATACGTTGGTAAGGAAAATGTTGCCGGTAAGTTTCATTACCAACAAAATATCAGTGGTAAGGAAAATGTTGTTGGTAAGTTTCATTTCCAACACAATATCAGTGGTAAGGAAAATGTTGTTGGTAAGTTTCATTCCCTGATTTTTTCCCGTAAAAAGACATTTTTTTCCTTGCAAATAGGCACAAACTTACCTCAATTTCTCCCAAAATATCCAACACATTTTCTTCGGTTTCTGTGTTTTGTGCTGTTGTTGGTGGTGGTGGTGGTTCAATTGGCGTTTCTTCTTCGGTTTCTGTGTTTTGTGCTGTTGTTGGTGGTGGTGGTGGTGGTTCAATTCGTTCAATTCGTTCCTGTTCAATCAGTGTTGTTGTTGCTGGTAGCGGCTGGCTTTTTGTAATCAATTGTTTTGTTTCGTCATCATTGTCATTTAATTTTTGTTTTTTTGATTGACTTTGCGAAAAAAATTGCGGAATATATTTTTTAATCACGTTCATTTTGAATATAATTGGAATGAATGTAATTTCAATTTATTTTCAGAATAATAATGTGTTAGCGATAAACCAATGTAAATGAATAACACACAGTGAGTGATAGTTCTGTCAAACGTCAAACCGCAAACCGCATGGTCAATTTTCTATAGCGGGAATTTACTTAACCTTAAATTTTCAAGTAGTAGCCATAGCAAGCAATCGAATGACAGCAGTCTGTATTTACAATTCAGTTCAGTCGTACACGCATTTTCTGTGCTGTGAAAAAAAAACATTTAAACAAATTAAAACAAATAAAATTTTCATTTAAATATTAAAACATTATTGTGAGTGCATAGTGCATAGTGTACTAGTGAAAAATAAAAAAAAACATTCCAAAATTCAAAGTTTATTAAAACTAAAAAAAATTTTAGTGAAAAAAAACAAGAAAAATGAATCGTCCTCGTGGTCGTGGTCGTGGTCGTGGTCGCGGTACAGTGCAAGCCACTGATGCAATAGTGCCAGCACCTGAGCCAGAAGAAGTTGCCAGAACGGATTCGCCAATGCCCGGACCGTCACATCAAAAACGAAGAAAACCACCACCACGAAAGAAACGCCGTATAAATCTTCGGTAAGTCGTGTGAAAAAAGTAGGATAGGAAACTTACTAATGACATTTTCCTTACCAACGCATTTTGGTTGGTAAGCTAACTTACTAATAACATTTTCTTGACCAACGCATTTTAGTTGGTAATTAAACTTACCACCAACATTTTCTTGACCAACGCATTTTGGTTGGTAATGAAACTTACTTATAAAATTTTCCTTACCAACGCATTTTGGTTGGTAAGCTAACTTACTAATAACATTTTCTTGACCAACGCATTTTGGTTGGTAAGCTAACTTACTTATAAAATTTTCCTTACCAAATATTTTTATGTTTTTAAAAAAAATTTTTTAAAGGTTTCAATCAAGCTCGTCGTCATCATCATCCGATGAAAATGATCCTGATGATATTGACAAAATCATCATTAATGATCCGGCTCGCTATGGTGGTTTGTCTCGTGAAGAAGTTGAAAAAATACTTCAAGAGCACACAAAAGAAGTTTCAGAATCGACTGAAGGTCGAAAACGCAAACGAGCATATCCAGCACCAACCGCAGCAAAGCCATCAACAGTACGGGTGAGCAATCAACCGTACAATCCGAAATCGGCCATCGGTTATGCCATGTATTGCGTGGTGATTACGGAGTGGTGGAAGGATACCGGCATACCATCACACAATTCGCAATTCGAAGATAACTCCGTATCGAACTTGCCATCGCTCATCCTCGCATATTATTTACAAATGCGATACAAAGACTACGATACGACCAGTGGTCAGAAGTTGAAGCCGTTTAAGCTCAAGAAAAAGAAGGCCGAGTTTGCGGAATACATGGAAAATACACCAGAAGCCGAACAAAAGCGCCGAAAATTCCCTGTTTCTTTGCATGTTGATTCGCCAGTCGAACATATTTTGCAGTACACCGCCAAACGATTGTACGAGAAGATGCAAGTAAGTTAACTTTTTGTTAATATTTTCCTTACCATCGATACTTCATTGGAAAAGAAACTTACGAAAAACATTTTCCTTACCAACAATTTTTATCTTTTTAAAAGGAATACAACACCGATAAGGCTGTTTGGGACAATTTGCCTGATGAAGAGCAGGATGGAGTCGAATCACCGCTTCAAAAATTGCGGAAGCAAGAAGTGTGCAGCATTGTTCCACATCTATGGTGCTTTTTTTATTCCAATGGAATACCACGCAAATTCGCTGGTAATTGGGATAAAATCAAAAATTCGACAATGTTTGCCTCGTTACCTTTGATGCCATCTGAAACAACGGACGACATTAGTTTCGATGAAACAGGCGCTCCAAAAAAGATCCATGTCGCTCCATCTGAATTTTCCTTACCAATAATTTTTATCTTTTTAAAAATAGCTAATGCAATCGAAACTCCAAATGGAGAATAATTTAATGGTTTATGGATCGAAGATCAAAGATCCATTTCGAGACGACCTCGCATTGGCCATTGGTCCAATTATCAAAACCCCATTATTTCTGAACGAGCAAGTCGTCCCTGAACTAATTCAGGCAGTTTTGGGGGATGGTTGCGGCCAACGCTTTTTGAAAACTATACGTCGCTTGTATCGAGAAGCCATTAACAAAGACGAGAACGATTTCCAAAGTGGTAAGTAGTAAAACACTTTACTTTAATTCAAAAATAAATATAAATAAATTGACTTTATCATAAAAAACAAAAAAGGAACATGGATGTTTGACCTTGCATTTTGGAATCCGTATTTACGGTCGGCATGCTCCACTGAATTCAGCCGCGACGAAGTATCGAACCAGGTGATTGGTCATCGTCCCTGGGACATAAATACCGCAAGAAATGCCGACATAGGGGACATAGAAAATGGATCGTTCCAGAAAACCAACGCGATACATTCAATCATTTTGAATGGCAATTCATCGGTAATGAAACTGCATTAAAATATTTTCCTTACCAAAGAAATATGACCAGCAAGGAAACTCTTGACAAAAAGTTTCCTTACCATGAATTTTAAACTTTTTAAAAAACAAATTTAATTCATATTTATTTAGGCTTCATTTCAATTCTGTGGAACGATGTTTTTGCATTTGTGGTCCCTGCGAGATATGGCCGATATGAACGAATTCCGGTTGACCGAAGAACAGACCAGTCAAACCCTTGTGTATCTAAACAATTATATCCTCGAAATGATTGAACGAGCTTCAACTCGCGGTATTGGTCTGGCATTTTGTAAAAATATGTCTGAAATTGCCAACAAATACATGTGGCGTGGGGCTTCTTTCGCAAGACGCGAAAACCTCTACACATTGGTAAACGTAAGTATCCTCTTTGAAAACAGTTTCCTTACCAAATAAATATAACCGGCAAAGAAACTTTTGAAATAAAGTTTCCTTACCAGGCACTTTGAACTTTTTAAAAAAACAAATTACCACACATTTTCAGAAATTTGCCCAACCATTCGCTCTCTTGGCGTCGGTTGACTATGATCATTCGGATTTCGAACCACACCAAATGGACTTGGAATTCTTCAATTTATTGAAAGAAAACTTTCCTTCCATCTTTTCCACCCAAGAGGAAGTTGAAGAAGATAGACCAGTGCGGCGACGAGCAGATGACATCACAGATGAGGAAGAAGAAGAAGTTCCAACAACATCAACAGCAAATGATACTTTGCTATCGCCAGTAGTAGAAAGGAACACAACCTCGTCGTCGTTGTCAAGAATCAACACCAAAAGAGGAGCAGCAGTGCATACACCACCAATGGCAAATTCCACTTTGTTGGACCAAATTATCGTCTCAGAAACCGAGAGAGAACAACACTCCATGGATATTGATACTACAAGCATGGAATTGACGCATCTTCAGCTCCAGGTGCAGGCACAGGCACAGGTTCACACGGTCCCACCAATTACACCTGAAGAATCCATCGATGAAACTGACATCGCACCAGACCGGCAGCTAACCGACGAACAACGTGCCAAAAATTTGATAACATTTTTGAAGCAAATGTGCAGCGAGGAAGCCAACACCAATTTCTCTTCCCGCGAATGGTGCATGTAAGTATCCTTTTTAAAAACAGTTTTCTTACCAAATAAACATAATCAGCAAAGAAACTTTATTTCTAAAGTTTCCTTACCAGACATTTTGAACTTTTTAAAAAAACAAATTACATAACATTTTTCAGTTGCACAATGATCTGTGGTGGCAACGATGCCCACTCCAATTACCGCAAAAATCGTCGCGGCGTCATGACCAAAAAATTAGGACCGCAAGTGCCAATTCATCATGCGAATTGCAATGTTTGCAAGCGCAAATCATATTCGCCTTGTGACCCAACATTGCAAAGATTTGTGAACAAATTTGCTACCAAGCAACAAAAACAACAAGGTGGTCGATTGGTACTGCTGACCGATGATCGATATCGTTACCGTTGCCACAATTGTGAGCAAGCGAACTCAACGACTCGTACCGACAATCGAAACCGTAAAGCCGCGGTAAGTAATCTCTTTTGAAAAATTTTCCTTACCAAACAAATATATTTAGGAAGGAAACTCTTGGCATAAAGTTTCTTTACCATGAATTTCGAAGTTTTAAAAAATGATAAATATTTCAATCCATATACACACACAGGTCGTTAAATACTTGGCCGACAAATTTAACATCACTACAACATGCGAGTCTATGGTGGATTTAATTGGTTGCGACTTCAACGTCGCGGACTTGGACCCTGAATTCCGTCAGCAATTCGAGCAATCCTGGTTCGGCAACCCAAATGAATCAATGATGGACAAGTTGTTCGCATTGCCAACCAATTACCGGGAAATCGATTCGGATACCGAGCAAGATTCGCCGGACTATCCTTGGAAAATTGGCCAAAAGGTGGACGTCAATTTTCAATATTAACGAATAAGCCATAAGCCCAGCTACCACTTTGGTATGCTTTTTTTTAAGCCACAAGGCCAGCTACTACCACTTTGGTATGCTTTTTTTTGTTATCAATAAAAACGTAAATAAATTGAACGGTTACTTTGACCTGCAATAAAAATGATCTTTTGTTTTATTTAACAAGAAAAAAGCTACTTGCTATGGCCAAAGTGCCATAGCAAGTAGCCTTTTTTTTGGCTCGAAAATAGTGGTCAGGAAACTTTTGAGTAACATCTTCCTTACCATCCAGATTGGAGTGGTCAGGAAACTGACTACA